AGACGGCGGAAGCAAAGGGTTTACCCGCCCATGCGCTTTTGAATATTGATAACTAAACAAGCTCTGGAGCACTAAAATTTAGACGAGACGAGAGGAGACGAGACCGACATAGAAAAGTCCTTATTTATATAATAATTTACATAAGTTTAGATCTTATATAATAGTTTTGAAAATATTATTCAGTTTGATATCCTTACCAGTAGGTGACTATAGAGGACTTCAAATTTGGCTCAGAGGCGGTATTTTTTAGAGATAGAGGGAAATATTTGCTTCAAGAGATAAACATATACACTTAATTATAGAGGTATAGTACATGAGAATAAAAAAACAGGGAACTCAGGTTGAAAACAATAAGCCTTAACTGATACAGGTTTCAGATATAGTATGTCATCACAAAACACAATGGAAACCATGATAACAGCTGAGAGCACGCCAAAGGTAGATTCTGTTTATCGTGATGAATCACTAATAAAAGATACTTCGATTACTACTACGGATACCAATTTAACCCTGAGCTCTACTCCACCTTCATCTTCCAGTTTGTCAGAGGAGAATGAAAAAATGAAAGCCGAAAATGATCTCACTGGTTCAGAACTGCAAGCTACTAACAGCGTAAGATCAGCTGCTAATACAGTAACCGAAATCAATACGAATGACGAATCAAAGGAAACACTCAATTCACCAATTGACTCCTCTGATAACAGTGATATGGAGTGCAAGGACATAGCAAGAAAATTATTCAATGAAGAGTTTGTGTCCATAAGACCGGAGGAATATACACAGTTATTAGCATCAAATGATGAAGAAAGCAGTAGCATTAGAAACTACTATATGGATATGTTTAAATGGGACCGTAATTTGCTAAAATCAATAAGAATTCTATGTTCAAAATTATATTTAAAAGGTGAATCTCAAGAAATTGATCGAATCCTATCTGCGTTTTCTCAATCTTATATCAAACAACATCCCAATGCTTTTTTTACCAAGAAACATGAGGAGATTTATATCATTATTTATAGTTTGATTTTGTTAAACACAGCTTTGCACAATTCTGAAGTTAGCAAAAAGAATAGGATATCTCAACCGGATTACATTAGAAATACCTTCACTACTTTCAGTAAGCACAATCCTAAAAGTCAGAAAAAGTTGTCCATTAAGGAAAAAGTTTTAATTGAGAGAGAACTTGGCTCTTATTATGATGATTTAGCAAAAACTGAGCTTCATTTGAAACAATCGGATGAAAATACAAGGCTGAATCGCTATTCCAAAGACTACACAAATGATATAGCTGAATGGGATAGTCATTCAACTGCAGATCCTGTTGCAAATTCTCATGAATTGACGAAGCAGCCTTCAAATTCCTCCATATGGTCAGATGCAAATAATCGCAGGTTTTCTTTACAAATAAGACGAGTACCATCAGGAGCATCTGGTGTTGCACTGTTCACATCAGTTAGCGGAAGTAATTCCAGAAACAGAGTCGGTTTCACTAGGGCTTTAGCTTCAGATCAAAATCTGGCAAGGCTCTTTAAAAACCCGAATTACTCTCGCGTTTCTAGTGTAGCGGCTCCAGATTTTACAATTAAAAATCGTCAATCATTGGATCATCTACGTGGTGCTCCGAATAGATCAAATTTGAGTGGATCTCTCAACAAGAGAGCATCGAGAGCTTCTATCATATCAAAGGATTCAACATCATCTACCGCAAACACAGAGGCATTTTCCATCTTATCTATGGACACCAATAATATAGAAGGAATAGATTTTGATGACTCTTATGATACAAGACAACAGTTGGAAGATTTCAATGTTGATGACTATCAAGATCACTATGATTTGACTTTAGAACTTCTGGGGTCTCCTTATTTGAAGGAAGGACTTTTAAAATTGAAAATATTGCACAACGATCAGCAAGATAATATTGCCAATGGAGAGACAACATCTTCTTCTGCCTCTGTCGCTTCGACACAAACGAATAGAGGGGCCAGTAGATTCTTTTCATTTTTCCTGAGATCTTCAGTTAAGGAAAGCAATCCTGCCATAAGTATGTCAACGGCGGTACCAAGTTCAATCTTGAATAAGTTCATCGAGAATTTTGTTGTTGTTTCAAAAGGCGAATTATCACTATATTCATTTGACCCAAAAATTGTCAAGAAACATAAGCAAAAGACCAAAAAGTTTAGGCAAAAACAATTGTCTGTTTTGGGCGACATAAGTGATGAAGAAGAAGACGCGGTGGGAGATGGTAACTGGTTGAAAAATGCTGCCAACGTAGGAAATTACAATTTGTGCTCAACATTTGCGCAAATGGAGAGCCTGATTGGGCATTCGTCAAATAAGAAAGCCATTCTTTGGTCGTTAACATTTCCAAAGACGTCAAAAAAAGCTGCAAAAAAATTCATATTCGAAGCGGGAACGAAAGAAATTGCGTTAGAATTTGTAAATACATGCAATTTCTGGGCCTCCAAAATCACAGCGATTCCAGCATCCGAAGAAAGTGTATCATCTATTGAATATGGGTGGACAAATCTAGAAGGTTTAATAGCCAATAAATCTCAATTCAAGAAATTGAAACATATTGGTAAGTGGGAACCTATTTCTAGAGGTATTTACTTGAGTAATTTTGTAACAGGTGAAAGTCAGGGAGGATACTCAAATCATGCTGGTATGATGAAGCAGTTTGTCAAAACTATGAAATACTACCATCACTTGAAAAAATCGTATCACGAATTTACTCTTTTGAGAACGAAGTTCGTTAGATCATTTCCTTTGAAGGATTATAATTGTTCGAATTTATCTAGGGTTCTTAACAATTATGAGTTGAAGATGACAGAATATAAAGAAGAATTAAATAAGTATAAAAATTATCTAATCATTTTAGGTTTTGCTTTGCAACTAAGATTCGATTTGGAGCAACAAGACAAGGAATCGCAAGTCACAAGTATTGATGAAGATGAAACTTTAGAGCCCGAATTGGAAGATTATAGCGATGAGTTGACAAAATTAGTAAAGTCAGAAATTAGAAATCTCTTCATCAATATGAAAGACGTTGGGAATGTCATTCCAACTTTCCAATCGTCTCGTTCTATTCAAAACTTAACAGAGCTAGCTCGTCAGCAAGTTCCAAATGATACTTCGAGTTCTGCCTTTCCTTTAGTCAAGTCTCCAAAAACTTTTACTTTGTCAAACTACAAAGATACAGAGAGCCCTATCAATCAGCTCTTACAGTCGTCTGCGCCGGCAGCTGATGGCCAAAAAGACCTTTCACATAGCTACAGTACCAACACCATTAAAGAGGAGGATGAACCAGACGACCAAGAACAGCCCAAAAAAACTAATATCAATACCGACTAATATCAACACCGAAATCTCAAGTAAAGGGAACTCCTCCACTTATATCTAACTACTTAGAGCTTTCTTACTTCTTATATGTGTTTTAAATAAATTCATTTCGTTATGAAATATTGTAGGGTGCTAAGAGTGGCTGCGGTTTTGTGCAATATTATCTCTGAGGTCTCTGAAGGCAAATTACATAGTAATTACGAACCATCGAACACTCAACTTTCGTATATTTTATCGTTTATTCGAGATTGTATTTATATTGGGACATAGAAACTGATATTCGATAGTCTTACTTGATTGATTACTGCTGACTCGCTCTGCTGAAATTTTGAACGTTTATATATCAAATCTACATTAGTTGGAACATATAGAAGTTACAGTAAGATTGGAAGATGTCTGACCCAAGTTCTATCAATGGTGGTTCAGCCGTTGCTATGGTAGGTAAGAACTGTGTAGGGATTGCTTGTGACCTACGTCTAGGATCTCAATCACTTGGTATCTCAAATCAATTCGAGAAGATATTTCAAATAAGTGACAAGACATTTTTGGGTTTAACAGGTTTAGCTACTGATGTGACTACACTTTCGGAAACATTCAGATACAAATCAAATCTATATAAACTACGTGAAGAAAGACAGATTGAACCAAAGACATTAGCAAATTTGGTAAGCTCTACGTTATATGAAAAACGTTTTGGACCCTATTTTGTGGGTCCAATAGTAGCGGGTTTGGACTCTAAAACTAGCCAACCTTTCATATGTGGTTTTGACTCAATTGGCTGCATTGATTTTGCTAAAGATTTCATTGTCAGCGGAACAGCCACAGATCAGTTATATGGAATGTGCGAATCTCTTTATGAACCAAACTTGGAGCCTGAAGATTTATTCGAAACCATCAGCCAATCCTTGTTGAACGCCGTTGACAGAGACCCATTGTCCGGATGGGGTGCTGTTGTCTATATCATTACTGGGGATAAGATTTTGAGGAGAGTTTTGAGAACTCGTCAAGACTAGTATTTCGTAATCGTTGCTTAAGCATTAAAAATGAGGCTCATATATAGCTACATCAATAATAAAATTAGATACTGATGAAACTTTCAAATCTATTTACATAATCTTCTGGGTATCACTCACTCACTCACTTGGACTTTTCAGAAAGTTTTTGAGCATCTCTGTCGACTATTTCCTTTAAGTAGTTATTCTTGCCGTATATTTCCTCTTCATTTTGTTTCCTCTTAGCTTCAAAAATCTTCTGCTTCTCTCTTGATCTCCTAATTCTGTCTTTTGAATCTTCAACTCTAGTATAGTGAAGGCATTTTGAAAGCTCATTCTTCTCGAAATTACACATTCCCAACACTTGTTTCACGTATTCTTGCTTGTGACAATCCTCCAAAGCATCCATAAGCTTTTCACATGGTTGAAACCTATTTCTGTCTAGCTGAGGATGCATTTTAATTTTTCGTTTTGCTGATGAGACAAACTAAAATACCTTAAGTTGGCCATTTTTGATTTCGAGCAAATATGTAAAAAGTGTGACTGGGTTAATTTTACATTTACGTATTAAAATAACAACCACTAAATTTAAGACAGATATTAAAAAAAATATGTCGTCTAATACCGATACCGACGATGTACTAGACTTCATCAATTCATTACCAGACTCTAAGTCGAATACACCGCAGCCTCCAAATGGGGAGAAGAAAGTGGGTAATCAGGAAGACTTATTAGACTTCTTGGACGAGCTAGAGAATCATGATAAATCAAAAGCTTCAACACCCATGGTAGCTAAGACAAAATTTGAACCAAAAAAGAAACAAGAGAAGGACTTAAATGAAAAAACACCAAATCTAAACGATAACACAGAAACGAACCAAGAGGTGACTGGTGAAGCAGAAGTGAGTGATAGGGCTACTACTAAAGAAGAGCACGAATTACAATCCGCAAATGATGAACTAAACATTGACCCAATTGGTTCCATTTCTTCATGGTGGCAGAGCGAAGGCTCTTCCAAGGTATCTTCACTCTGGGGTACCTTCACGTCGAATGCACATCATATAAGTGAACAGACTTATCAAATAGCATCAAGTACGACCAATCAATTGAATCAACAAAGGCAAAAAATCTTGAGCGAGTCTGAAGGTTTTGAAGAGCAATTCGAAGTAATTTCAACTCGCTTAAATTCTATTCTCTTGAATATGTCACAGCAAATTAAGCAAGGATTAATTGATGACGATGACGAACTATTGAATATTTTATTAATAAATGATTTGGACAACATGAGCTATTTGAGTAATTTGTGTTCTGATAAATTTAACCTAGTTATGGATCAAGTTGAAGGTGGCATAAGAGTGTCAGTCAATAATTTTAATCATAGGCAAATGATATCTGAAACAGCCAGAATTGAATTGAATATGTTTCATGGCAAGATCATTGATGGAGAAAAACTTTGTGCTGCAAATTTGGACTCAGCCGTCAAGGACTATCAAAAAATTACGAAGGACCAAGAAGAGTCGCAATCCAAGGAATCTTCAGCAAATGAACTAGATAAGATCAATAAGTCAAATATATTTATCTCAATCCAACCGATCAGCAGTAAGGTATCTCAGGATGATCAAAAAGCTGCTACTTCTGAGGGCCCCATGATAATCGAGGCCAATAACTCTGACTCGTTTGCATTTACCTTGATCCTAAAGGATGTGACGAATAACATTACCTTGATAACAAAATCACAACCTTTTCCTTATAGATGGTCTAAATGGTTGGCTGGAGACTTTGAAGGATCCTCTGATTTTGATGATGTAGATCCAAGTGAATGGGTGAAAAGCTGGATCAAGGATGGCTTGAGTCTTAGCTTTGGTGTATTAGCTCAAGAGTATGTTGCGAAGAGGATGGGGATAGCATAAGTTAATTTTTTGGTAGCTGATCAATTCAGAAGTGTTACAACGTGGCGTAAATCACCACAAATTTAATTATTTCTCTCCATATTATTGAAGAATATATAATTGATACGCATATTAAATAGTATAGCCATATCGTTAACCCAGCCATTTGATAATGACTTCAATGTAAAATTAATCTATAAACTGCCCTGAAAACAAGCAAGAACTGTTACTTAAAACAAATCTGCAAATTCTGCCACATGAGGATGAACTTCATGCATTTGAGAACTTGTGGTCCTACCAGTAGGATTCAAATTATTCACGTTGTAGGAATGTTGGATTCCGCAACTTAAATAGTTAGCCATTATTCTATCAAAAGTCTTTTCATCATTGGCAATCAAATTGTTCTTATAATCAATCACCAACGGTTCAGACAGTGTAATGCCTTGCAGTAACTTCTCAAAAGATTCTCTACTTAAAACATTCATGTCGTATGATTTATTCAATTTCATCAATCTCTGAAGTATTTGCTTGTTGTCTGGATGGATATCCAGACACTCATTCATGATGAATAAATAGTCCTGGTAGCTTAAGCCCTTGTTGATCTTAATGTTAACTTGAAACTTAAAAGGTTGCGTCTGAACATCCAGGTACTGATCATACTTGTTCAGTGTGCTTGGCAACATACTATAGGCATGTAATTTACTCAATAATTGGGCTGACGCATGAGAATTTGTCTGATGGTAAATGGTAATGGGATTAGGGGACAGGACTCCTCCAGATGATCTGGTGGCGCTATTAACTGTTCTCAAAAATGATTTAAGCATTGAAAAATTTCCAGTCCTTTTCTTTGTGGTGTCAAATGCTCTGCTTTTTCGAATCACAGGAATCTGCCTTTATCTGCTGCAAAGTCGTAACAAAGATCGCACGCGTATGAGCTATCTCTAACAGCCGAACTCTGTTGCTATTCAGATATCAATAGCTAAAGTTCAAGGTTCCTCTATCCTAATAGTGGTAAATAAAACAGCTGATTGTCCCTTATCTTATATAGTATTAGTATTTACGCTCGTATAGAAGAGGGGATATTTTCGCAACTATTTATTTGTACACCCTAGGGAAAATTAGTTCGCTTACAGTTATTCCGTTGAGAAGAATCTCCGCCCCGAAACCCAACGAGCAAAGTTGCCGCTGCATGCTCATACAAAATCAAGCAATATAGGGGGTAGACTAGAACCTAATTTGGCTATGCTAAGGATGCGAGGGCCTGAGTCATCAGGTGGCTACGTTGTTATTGCTAGCAATGCAGTTAATCTTGTAATCATGTAATCTTGGGTCTCGATTTTTGCCAGCCTGTCAACACATGTGCACCGACGACAGGGGGTCAGTGCGGACCACAGAAATGCGGCGTAGTCTGCATAAGACGCCGGCTGTGCAAAAGTAAAAACGACATCCAGGACATCCGAATTGCTTTATCAAATCACTATCAAAAGAAAGAGTACGATAGTATCCACAGTAACCAACACCTTATCAATTCTATGAACGTGGAACCTAGGAGAGATAGACAGACTAACCTCAAGCTTTTAAAAAAAGAAATTATTGTATGCAGTGTTTCGCGCCAGCCGTGAAACAGATGTCAAATGCAAGACAAATGTTGGTCAGAAGTGAGGAGTCCATCGGTGAAATGGAGGGGAACTCGATATATTTGTGTATATCTGATTTTATAAAGTAAGAGATGCTTGAGGAGAAAACGTATTCTGGTGGCTATCCTGCTGGCTGCATTGGGGGGTAATCTGCACCCTATGTCGCACGTCCGTGAGTCTGCACCTACGAAATAGAGTGGCGAAAAAAAGTAAACACAAGATAAGAAGTCAAGATAAATATGTAATCAGAGTCAACCTCTTTTTGTGGCATATCAGTGCTATGGGAGTGTCTTGAGCCATTGAAATTTGCGCACTTGAGGAAATCTCATTATGTGCCTGTTAAAATCTATGATAGGAGATTGGACTGTCGGATAGAGGGAAGATGCTATTCTAGAATGATAAGCTCATGTGCTCAAATCAAAAAGAAGTTCTTTTATTCAGATAGCACAATCATTGTATCGTTGCTGTGTCTTTTCTAGACTCTATGCATCTCGCGATGTTTACAAAGACTATCAGTTGTCATTGGGATGTCACGGGGACAATGAATAAGAATGCTTGTCAAAAAATGAAGCCGATTAACTCGATGAAAATCATTATTATTCCTTCTCTTCTTCGAGCGATAAATTAGCTTTTGAGTTTCTCTGTGTTTATCGATAAGATGCTGTCAGACCTGACTGTGGCAGATCTGTTCGCTACGCGCATACGTTGTTTGATAAGTTCTAGTCAAAGGAGCCACATCTCAGACCCAGAAGGTTATAGCAATTCACGTCATGCCTCCATAAGCTACAATAAACTTTCGTGTGCTTTATTTGATAAGTAATTTATTTAAACATCAGTTTATGACTCATGCGGCTCTTACGTGCTTTTGCAGCCCGAACTTCAAGCTATGAAAGCATAAAGATTGATCTGCTTTGAGCTTCTCTTTATGTGTTTAGCCTTACTAGTTTTGAAAAAGAATGAACAGCTAAACTAACTCTCATAATTTTTCAGTATGGTATGTCAGGGAAGGTTTTATAGACACGTTGAATACATATATTTAAATTATTTGTGCTAGAATACATTTGCAGTCAATACTGAGTTCTCTAATTATAAAAGTGAGATTGTTCCTAAACTTCAGATATACACAGTCAATGAGGTGTCACGTATCTGCTACATAAATTTGGTTTCGAAGGTTGTGAGAAGTTTACAAACTGTGATGTCTTAATGTTACTACTTATATACGATTCCTTAGATTGCAAAAGAGTTCAATTATCAAAACTGAATATATGGAGTTTTTTTCGTCATATTTACTGCTTATATCAATTCCTGATACCTTCAAGTCACACGAAGAATCGAGTCTCAAATCGTATTACATATTATCATAGACGTACACTCGACCGCAACTTTCTCTTCACTTCTCGCACCCAATGCTAATACCTATTTCTAATAGCTGATATGAGGGAGTTTATAACTCCAAGTGACGACACAAGCAAACCGAATGAGAATAATATTATTAGTGAGTTTTCTTACATCTCTCCAAATATATCTTCTCTTCTATGCTCAAGCAATGGCATATTTGTCCTAATTGCATCGAGAGAGTCTAGATCTAAATCAGCAAAGCATAGCTCATAGTAATCGCCTTCTTCGTCAAGCTCTAAAGTGTCCGAATATTTTTTGCATTCCGACAAAACCTCACCCCATGGACTTATTATGATAGATTCTCCATAGCTTACTCTTTTTTTGAGTTGTTCTGGTGGGGTTTCCAAATCAGCGGCAGTATCATGTTCTCCACATTGTGCCGCCATAACGACATAACATTGTGTGTCAAGTGCTCTAGCCTTCCCTAGTTCCTTCCAGTGACTCTCCCCAGTCTTGACGGTGAACGCAGAGGGATAAGTTATTATATTTGCACCTAGTTTTCTAAGTTTAATACCTAATTCTGGAAATCTGATATCATAGCAAATTGCAAATCCAATGCTGAAGTTAGCATATGAAGTACTGTTGACTTGGAAAGGTTTCAAAACCGAATTTCCTGGTTCTACTGAATTTGACTCTTTTAAGATGGGCCCATCCTTAATATTGACGTCAAAAAGATGAATCTTTTGGTATGTCTGAAGTATCTCACCTTTATTATCGATCCACAATTGATTATTTCGGACCTTTTTCAAATCTCCAGTAGGACTCTGAGATTGCGAAGGCTCGTGTACTCCTACTGCCACAAATAATCCCTTATCATCAGTGTCACCAGATGACTTTAGATAAATAGATCTAATTTCAGTTTGAACTAAAGATATAAAGTTTTTGTGGACAGATTGTGCAAGTTGCATAGAGTGTTTGGCATCTCTTGAGATATAGTCTGATGCTTCAGGTAAGAACAACACTTTCACATTCTCTTTGACAGCCTTATGGATCAATTTCTTGACAACTCTTGCATTATGGAGCAAATTAGAAGACGAACATAGTTGACCACAAGCAATCTTGATTGATGACATTGCTGTTATAAGAAAAGTATTTAAAATCCACACTTCGAGTAATCGATTTTCTATCCGTATTCTTTCGCGATTATAATAATTGGAATAAAAACCACTGTTTAGAACAGATTCTTTGTCTCAATTTGTGTCAGATTTGGAAATATATATGCGATAAGTACGAAGGGAAGGGTGCTTTCTTTTGTAAAATTTTGGAAGGGAGAACTTCCTCTCCTTTCCCTCATTTTTCATGGAAATCTCCTCAATAGATTGATTGCCTTTGATTAATATTGCAGGCGTGGTAGGACTAGAATTGAGAGAGAAACCGAAAGTATAAGTGGAGATATAACAACGTTCGTGAGAAGTCGAGCATATTCTCACTTACTACATAATTTATTGCACCATTTTTAATCATGAATCGTAGCATTGTCATAGAATGGATATAACATACAGACTGGCACAGTTAAATAAATAATAGAAGTAAATTTCTGAAGATAAGCTTCGTAAGTGATGCAATTAGATGACTTATGCTTTGTTAACTGGACCAGCAGTGTGTACTTCGTCAGAAGAAAACACAGTGGGATGAAATGTTTCATCAGATGAACCAGAAGTAGCGTCATTAGCGCCATTTGATGATTCACGATGCTTAACGTTGATGTTTTGGGAAGAATAGAATCTCAAGTTGGCGCTCCCATTTGCCCTCAAGGCTTGGTTTACTGGTATCCAGCATCTTGCTGCTGTCTTATAGGTTGAAATACTGAAAAATTGTTTTGCTGCCGACATCTTTGATAAATTTAATTATTTGATTTATTCTTGTATTCTTATTTATGGTTCTCCTTTTTTATGACCTTATTGCTTTTGTTCTGAAGCTTGAATGGATGCTGTAACTTAAAGTTAAAACTGAACAAGGATAATTAATTTTATTAACTTCAGAAGAGTATGATGTTCCTTTAAACACAAGTTATCATGGAGGACCCCAGATCTTTCTTATATATTTCGAGATTTTACCCCGGACCCGTGTGTCCGGCTGCATTACTCACTCCATAAAAAAAATTTAACATGTAGTATTGAGTCATCGGGGCTGCGGGTTTGCGAGGGACCGTTTGACCGAAACAAACTTCGCTTTATTTTTGAGACCACACTCAAAAATGATGTCACAAAGTACAAAAACAATAGTCAAGATAAAGAATTGGGTAGATCATTGCTCCTTCCATAACTCAATAGGGATGATGGCCAATAATAAATTGAGAAAAAATTCTGCACAATTGACACGAGCAAACAAAGGCAATAAGGAAGACAGATCAATTGGCTACTACAAATGATCTGTTTCTCTAAAGTGCACTATGCGATAAATACATTACTCCTATACTGGTATCATCTAAAAATGTTATAATGAGGTGTCGGCAATTTCAATGTAATGTCCTAGTTTTGAGGGTGTCCGACAATCCGAGAGTTGTAATTTTATTGAGTCATGTTTTAAACACGGGGCAAGGGACCAGCGGAAGTGCTTTTCTGATGACCTGTGCCCCGGCTCTCGGACGCTATAGAAACACTCCCGTGGGACCGAAGTTATGCTCCTGGGCTCTCTTTGAACCTCCTTTATGAATGAAAAACTCACAAATATCGAAATACACGTACAACAGCTTGAGACATAAAGTTTCTCTTTGACAAATTATTTCCTTTTCTCATCAATTATAGAATGTGAGGTCGACTAATATCTTCCATCATCCGAGGAAGAACAGTTGTAATCTTGTTATCAAGGTCACTAATTCTTCGCTTGAGTTTGCACCTGACGTCGCCATTCTTACCGACCGATTCACTGTAGTCGGGCGGAACACGTTAAAAAAATCGGTGGCTTACTCCACCTGATTTACTTCTATTACCGTAGGACCGAGCTTTTTCCTAAGTATTTGCTGACCCTGTTTGTGTAATTTCTCGACTAGTGCCTAGTCTCTGACACTTTATGTCTTATAATCTGGGGAACTACATGATAATTGAATTAGGAAAGTCATAATCAAATAGGATAGAGGATATTCTGGATATCTCAATACTTCGAGAAGGCTAGCTACAAATTATAAACACTTAGACATTGTCATACAACATACTGTTGAGTAAAATAAAGGAAAGATATCCGTAATACGAGCTTGCAGATTTCACATAGACATTTGCGATGGGAACGGGCTGGGAACTCACGAAAGCGCTACGTGATAAAATATACAAGTATGCTTTGTACCCACAAACATCAATTTCGTTGAGACAAATGGTTCAGTTTGGACCAAATCCAAGTCCAGGCTCAATTTTTTTAGCTTCTCAGTTTATTGTAGAAGAATTACCAATAAGACTAGCACTTAAAGTAAAAGACTTGGATAATGCGCCTTTGGGATTGAGCAAAATGCCTTCCACAATTAAGGTCAAAAATTGGTATGCCCAATCTTTCCAGGAATTAACTGAACTTCCGAAACCTGAAGTTTCTCCAAAATTAAAAGAATTATTGGCATCAGGAAATGATGCATCGAAAACAAATAAAGGAGAAGAGAGTGGCAATAGATATTCCGAAGAAGTAGACGATACCCAAAATGTTGCTAATGAAGAAGTCTCTAATCCTGCTGTAAACAATTTGTTTAGTGATGATGGAATAGTGTTACGACAGTCTCATCATCTGAACTCACGAACTTCGAAGTCTGAGTCACCAACTTATGGCAAAACATACTATACTCCATGTCCTACGAATATTGTTTGGCCCAAAGAAGTATATGACTATAATAAGCTAGTCTGCGATACACTCACGAAAATTAAGAAACGACATGATGCGACGGTTGCGACCATGGCTCAAGGAGTACAAGAATGGAAATCTGAAAATCTGAGCATCTTTGTCAATTCGGCTGTTCAAAACTTTTTGGATAGATTTTACATGTCAAGAATTGGCATAAGGATGTTGATTGGTCAACATATTGCTCTTAATATGGCTCAGACCTCTCCTACAAAACAAAGAATTTCATCCTTTTTCAATGGCTCAGGTAAATCTAGTCCTAAAAAAACAAGCTATGTTGGAGTCATTTGTACCGATTGTAATGTAAGGGAGATTGCTGAAGATGCTATTGAGACAGCTAAGTATGTTTGCGAAGAATTTTACGGGTTGCTTGATGGGCCAGAAGTTCAATTAATTGCTCCCGAAGATAATGTGAGTTTTATGTATGTTCCTGGTCATTTGATTCATATGTTATTCGAAACTTTGAAAAATTCATTACGTGCAACTATTGAATTCCATACTCCACTTTTAAAAGCTAAAATGATGGAAGAGAATCCCAATTTGAAGGCAGATCAAATTGATTTAAACGATTTAGACTTCCCACCTATAAAAGTCATAATATCCGAGGGTCATGAAGATATTGCCATCAAGATAAGCGATGAAGGTGGAGGAATTCCTAGAAGTGAAATTCCGTTAATATGGACATATTTGTACACTACAGTTAGTAAAACTCCAATAATAGATTCTGATCAGAATTCTTTCAAGGCACCTATGGCTGGGTTTGGGTATGGCTTACCAATCTCAAGATTGTATGCGCAATATTTTGGAGGTGATTTGAAGCTCATTTCGATGGAAGGTTATGGCACTGATGTTTACTTGCATTTAAATCGTTTAAGTAGTTCATCAGAGCCACTACCTTAGAGTCAAGCTATAATTTAGCATAATAGATAGATATTTACTAAAGTTAAATTGAACTTTGAAACGCCTTGATATTAGCAATTATACCTTCATCTGTATGAATATATGCTTTAATGATACATTCTGACAGATGTAAATTTTCCTAGGGCAATCTCTGCTGTATAAATCAAAAAATGCCTTTCTATAATTTTCACGTGCAATTTGTATTTTTACCTCGCTCTTTGGGTAGAAAAAAGTAATAGACAATCCATCTTAATTACTGATCAAAAACATCATTATAATATTTCGAAAGTTTTGTTTGTGAGATGTCGGCTCCAAGAACAAAGCCTTGGGAAGTCTCGTCTGGTACGTCGTCTGCTGCTATGTCTGGTGGCACATCAGATCCACCTATCGGGGCGTCAAATTCTTCAACTCAATTGAACAACCCCGCTACAACAAACATGAATACATCAGCTGCAGCAACAAGTTTGCCTGATAGGCCAACTTCATTAACATCAGATATTTCATCGGCATCAAATGCATCACCATATGGAACTTCAGGTGGATATGGTTCTGGTTATGGTTCAAACTACGGCTCGAGGTATGGTGGACTTGGCTCGTCTATGTATGGTGGTGGACTTGGCTCGTCTATGTATGGTGGTGGATATGGCTCTGGCATGTATGGTGGGAGCTATGGCTCAGGTATGTATGGTATGGGTGGTATGGGCGGTTATGGTTCGAGCATGTACGGAATGGGTGGTTATGGGTCTGGAATGTATAATCAACCTGGTGGGCAAATGGGTGGATTGGCTGAAGGTACTCAGGCCACCTTTCAGCTCATTGAATCAATAATAGGAGCAGTGGGTGGTTTTGCCCAAATGTTAGAAGCGACTTACATGGCTACACATTCATCATTTTTTACTATGGTGTCATTAGCAGAACAGTTCGGTAATCTCAAGAATGCTTTGGGTTCCTTATTAGGTATATTTGCATTAATTAAATTTGTGAAAAAGATCTTCTATAAAATAACAGGGCAAACGTATAACTATGGCCTTAATCTTAACGAATTTTCTAAATTTGAGAAAAAGCAGAAAAAAATAGAAGATAGTATTAAGAAACAACAAAATGGAACCAAAGGGAGAATATCTTTCAAACCTTTACTATTGTTTTTGGCTGCATCGATAGGATTCCCTTATTTACTCAGTAAAGCCATTCAAAAAATTAATGAACAACAGCAGCGAAAGCAGCAAATTTTGGGCCAGCATGCAATGCCGGGCCCAATAGACCCCGCTAACTTGCAGTTTGCAAAAGCTCTATATGAATTCAACCCCGAGAACCCCAACATCGAAATTGAGTTGAAGCCTAATGAATTGGTGGCTATATTATCAAAATTGGATCCGTCAGGAAACGAAAGCAAATGGTGGAAGGTAAGATCTAGACTGGGAAAGGTGGGTTATGTTCCTCTGAATTACCTCAATATCATCAACAGGAAACTACAAACGAAAACGAAAGAGCCTCTGGCCATCGAGCAGAGTCCTGCTATACCTCAGCATCAGGTTGCTGATTCAAACCCCCCATTAAGTGTCGAAGAGTTCCAGAAGTTTTCTGGTTAAGTGTATGGTCCTTTATAGCATTCCATGGCGGTAGTATAATTTATCTTTAATTCTTATGACTACAACTACGGTGATTATTTCAATCAAATTATAATAATAATCATGTTTCGTAGAATTCACATTACCTGAATTATTTAGTTATGTATTTAAGTCCTCAATAGAAATCATCCGGACGGTTTTGCTCAATCTCAGCTTTAGAACCCTTGTCCTGTAAATCCTTGTAGCCTTTCGTGTTCTTTTCTACACGACGCCTCTCCTTTGTTGCAAGAGCATCAACCTTGTCAATGCCGTCTGCCAAAACTTTTCCGCTCTTCTTGTTAACGGTATCAGCAGCACCTGCTACTTTTTCGGTTGCAGATCCACTAGGCGTCACCTTTTCAGCTTTATTTATACCTTCAGCAGCAGCTTCCCCAATCTTCTTATTTGCTTTCAGTAACACATCTTTTGTCTTTCCTACAATTGAATAGTTGGCAACAGGGATTCTTGATACAACCGCAACATTTCTGTAACTAGTTGGAGTTCTTAATGCTTTAACAGATTGAATAGCTATTCTTGAAGTCATTTTCAATGCAGTATGAATTTATCGATAATATAATTGCTTAACATGGTCTAAAGCGTCTATTCGAACCTTATATACTACTAAAGTAACGATTTTAGTGGTGTCATCACAGGTCATTATGTGCACCTTCTACAGCAATCATTAGATTGCGGCCGCAGATAAATCGAACTCCATAGAAATGTTAAGCAATTTGCCAGAAATAATTGCTACTCTATGTGGTAAGTGAAGTTCAGTGCACGACTATTAGCTGTTGCCCAGGTAATCTTGCTTTTACTTTACTCCTATGATGTAAAAGATGTTGCACTATGTTGGCAATGTGGTCTCATCAGATAATAGAGTGCTACTAAGATAGGGGAAAAATCGGAAGCTTAATTGCTACATTAAAATAATTGCAGGCATCTATTGAAAGACGTTATGACTATAAGGGACTATTCTTCCTGATATGGTCTAGAATAGGGATGAGATCTCCCGTTTGAAGGAAAATTACGTCTGGATCTTTCGGGTCCTCCTGTACCTCCAATTGAGCTCGCAGGCGAGCCGTCAGTACTATTGTCTCGAGTGTCGTTGGCATCACCTGCCTGCAATTGGATCGTAGGCGTCGCCTCTTGTTCTCTACGTGTGGCCATTAAAGGTGTGGTATTCGATGAAACATCTTCGTCATTTGCTGATTCTATGTCATTGCTTTGGCGCCCGTTGGTCCCATTGAGGTCTGTCCTTCTGGTCTCTCTTCTTAAATCTCTCACTCTGCTTCTTCTGGGAAAGGGAAATGGGTGAAATCCTGTTTCCGGAAATGGAAAACGTTTCGGAAGGACTAAATTTGGATCTCTGTTGTCAGTTCTTAGTGGGCTATTCATATTATAAGATGTGACCCAATCTTGATGCATAAAGGAGTCTGTTAAAGGTGTAACCGAAGGATTAAATGGGCGCCTAAAAGGATTGAATACGTCTGTAGAATGATTCATCATGTGGTCAACCACAGCTTCTCTATCGGCATTAAAATTATAAAAACTGTTATTTCGGATATCATTTAACCTAGCAGTTTTAGGGTCCGAATCTCTAGACGCTGATACCTCTTGGCGGCACAAGGGACAACTCACATCATTTTTTAACCATGCGATAAGACAAGTTTTGCCGAAGACATGATTACAAGGCATCTTGACAGGGATGTGCCGCTCTTCCTCTACTTCTGACAAAGTTGCGTCTCTATCCTTAAATTCAGTTCCATATCCAGGTAAAATCTGTTCCATGTTTGCTTCTTCCAAAGTTGATAAATTCCTTTGAGGGAACCTTGAGTATATTAAGGCGCCCTCGTCTACAGGAAGAAATAGCGAGGGATCGTTGAACTGTACTGCAGTCTCTAGAGACTGTAAGCCATGAATACCATATTTCTGCTTGAGCTCTTTTATTACTCTAGAATTTTCCTCCATCATCTGTTGGTTCTTAGCCAACTTGACTTTGTCTTTGACTTGCTTATCCTGATCACATGGTACTTGATCCTTCGCTTCCTCGTATGGCTCAAAACAGATGGGACATTCTTTGCTATCAAGAGACGATATGGGTACTTCTTCCAAGCTCTCGATTGCTTCTTTTGATGCCAGCTTTTTGGTCAGCCGAAGTCCACTCGCTGTTAATGCTCTATCGAGAACATCTCGTAACCAACCAGGCAAATCTGTATTATTATTTGCTCCATCAATATCAACATCGATGATAGTCGTCCCCAAAAAGTTAGGTCTCCTATCTGGCGAATCCATCACTACAGATCTAACGTTTATTTAATTATTAATGACGGAACTTCAGTAAAAATAATGTGTGTGTGTCCGGTATAGAACGTCTTCGAAAATACACACTTGAATACTTTGACTAAGTAGCACGAATTTAATAATGATAAAGATCGAGTGAATAGAAAATGTATTAACCCTTTCCAAAGAAGTTTGTTCTCTAAATTTTCTACCGTTCCAAGTGGTTCATTGTAATATGTAGTAAATATATATAGATATATATTATGTGTGACTAGTTGCTTATTTGATTTCTATAGGTATTGCGCTCTTAAATTTATAACCATGGCCTGCTTGTCAGGTGGTAATGAACTGATCTGATCCGCTGGTAGAGACAACACCTGAGCAATCAAGTCTGCTTGCCCGGGAGACATGACTGCAAGTTTTGCCTGGGTGCTAGGTGGTAAATGCAGCCATTTTCCCATATTTTGTGGTTGCATCATGGGCTGACCGTAAGGATTATTCGTTGGAGGGATAGGTGGAAGATGTGGTTGAGATTGCTGTTGTTGAGGGGTACCAGTTCCAGGGTTTTTCATTGAATCGCTTATGACCTCTTCGTCAATAAACCCCATTAACAATAAGGCCTGTGCAGCAGCAGGGGCCAACTGAGGTGAAACTTGAAAAACATCTATCGCCCTTGACGAATTAGGACCATTTAAGATACCTTTCAAGTTAGATATAAACTCCATTAACTTCACCGGAGGAATATTGCTCAATGTTTCATTGATCTTATCAGGAATTGCAAAGGGTAAATTTTGAGGCTGCGGTAGAACTTTTGTTGCATTTGCTATATTAGATGGTAATTGAGGTACTGAAGAAGGAATTGGGTTATTCATTATTTGCTGCTGAAGCTGATCAGTATTAAATTGATGAATATTGGGTGGAGGCAGAACAAAGCTATGGTTTGGAAGAGGAGGACCATTGTATACCATCTCTTGAGGCAATTGGACGTAAGGAGGGAGCATATTTCTGTCTAGCCTCATGATTGATTTGTGCTCGGACGTAGCATTTGATCTTAATCCTTCTTTTGATAATTCTATTCGTAATTTTTTGATTTGCCCTGGTGTAGCAGGATTCAATAACTTGACTTGGTCTAATAACCTTAATGCTTTCTGAGCTTCTTGAGGACTTTGATATTCGACAAAACAAAAACCCTTGTTTTTACCAGCGTAGTCATATCCTAATCTGACATCTACAATATTTCCAGACCCACAAACAACCGATTTAATTATTTGCTCATCCCAATCATAAGGAAGTTGCCCAACATAGAGCACAGTCGAAGACGACAAAGCAGATTTCTTTGTCGACATAAGATAGGTGAAACTCTTTCAAGAATAGAAATGTAAATGTTTACGTGCCTTCGGGAGTAGTAGGAAATATAAAAGTGCTTAACGGTTGTTATAGATGAAGATGCTGTTTTGATAGTCGTGTGAAAGGTGAGATATGCTCGTTGGTTGAAAGCCTTTAACGTGCCATACGAGAAAACAAAAAAATTCAGGAAAAAACCACTTCCGATACCGGGAGTCGAACCCGGGTCTGCTCGGTGAAAGCGAACCGTGCTAGCCGTTACACTATATCGGAGAATTTCTGAATTTGTAAGGGATCAGTCTTATAAGTATATACAATGTGAAGGAGTGTTGCAAAACAGCTCTGAAACAGTGTTGCAAAAGTATATAAGCGCGAGTTAAGCCCACAAATAGAATATAACATTCTATTAGGGATTCTAAATAGTAGCACACTATACAT